ATTCGCTGATTATGGAGTCATTTGTTACCAGTAAAATGAAGGACAAGATTCTGCAGGAGGTCAATTACAATGAGAAAATCGAGGGTGATCCTATTGAATTATTGAGACGCATCAATAAATTTATGACAACCAGTGATGTGACAGACTGGGAACCCATTACATTGTGGGAAGCACTACAGAAGTGGGTGAATTGTCGTCAGAAAGGAAATGAAACGGTAATTGAATACCGTAAATGATTTGAAGAGTGCGCAACTACGGTATTATCTTTCATGGGTGATTTGTGGCTAGATGTGTTTGCCTCGAAGACGACCGCATATCATGAAATTGAAAACAACCATCTGACAAATGGCTTATCGGATAGAGAAAAGAAGCGAGTTGCCGCAGAAGTCAAAGCACTTCAAGAAGAATTTCAGGAAGAGTTTGTAAAGTTGTTCTGTGCTGCTGGGTTACTGCACAACTGTGATCGTGCACAATACCAGCCTGTACTTGATCATTTTGTTACTGCATACGCTGTGGAGCACGTGGATTATGCTCAGCGAGATTTGTTTCCGAGAGATGTGGAAACTGCAGCCAAGGCGCTACACAATCATCGGGTAAAGAAAACATCAACACCGAAACCTAACAACAACAACAACACGAATGATAAAGCAAACACTCCACAGAATGGTACTAACCTTGCACAAGATTACAACAAGGAGAGTAAGCGTAAATGTTTTTACTGTTGTAAAGCGGATCATGTTGCACCGCGATGTGAACATCAATTCCGACCCAAGGAACAATGGAAAGATCCGACAAAATGGAGATCGTATCCCAGGAATGAATTGGGACGCGAACAGGTACACCTGCAGGCAAGCACCGAGGATGGGTCTGTGCAGTCAAGTGTGACAGCTAACACCGCAGGTACGCTTGCTACCAATGATGGTAGTATTTCTCAGCAGAACCATATGCAGACTGGTTCGCCTGACAGGAGTGGTGGTTCATCGCCTCGAAAGCATTCAGGGGTGGAATATGGCTCAGTTTGGCGGACGGAAGAGAGTACCGCAGCCTATTTTAAGACCTTCAAGATTTGGTATGTCACCACCACACGACATAATGGCAAACTGGCAGGTACAATTGGATGCTGTCAGAGCAGCTGAAGAAGACAACAGTATTGCAAGTACACAGAGCTCCAACGTGCAGGTTGGTAGGGAAGTAGCTGTGATGCATTCCCAGGCTCATCGCGGACTCAAGTGCAAGGATAGCGGCGATCTGGTATATCTTGATTCAAATGATTATAAGGATGGCAAGATTCCGGAGCATTTTGATATGCATGATCCGAAGTGGTTTCGTTCGGGCGCAACAGGTCCGTCCCTTGACACTGGTTCGACATTTCATCTTCGCAAAGATTCGATGAATGCAAAGATGGGAACATTGAAAGAGCTTCCGTATATGTTCAATTATGGAACAAATGTCGGAGGAGGAAGGAATCTAACACATGAAGTTGAGAGTAAACACATGGATAATATGTGTAAGTATGACGCTGATGCCATCTGTGATGTGGACAGTGCGTCGTTATTGGTAAAAGAAGGGTATCGTATCGTGATGGATACCGACATAGAAAATGCATTTTTTGTTTCCAAAGATGGGAATCAATGGATTTACAGAGAAAAGGATGGGTTGTATACTTATGAACCCCATGAGGGGGAGAGTCATTGCAATGTGTGCATGGAAACTGGACCGACGGGTGAAGCCTGCAGGTCGTGCAGAGCCCACGGTGGTTTCGTGCCGGGTGAATTGTATCATGGCGGCAACGATACTACAACTAGTCAACATACTTCCCGTTACTCTGGTCTCCAAACTGTAAAAAAGAAAATAGAGGGTTACACCCCACGACAAGTTGACCGAGCAAACGCTGCAAGATCCGGGTATCACATGGGTGGTGCACCAGGGATTGAAGCATTCAAAGTTGTCGTACGCTCCGGTTTATTCAAGAATTGTCCCATCAGAGAAGAAGACATTGTTATTGCTGATAAGATTTATGGACCAAGCGCTTCAGTTCTTAAAGGAAAGACTAAGCGTCCTACCCCGGAAGCAGTCCAGGATGATTGGGTTGAGATCCCACGTGAATTGTTGGTCCACAACATTGATTTGAATTTGCATCTGGATATTGCATTCATCAATAACACATTCGGATTGACTACAATTGATGGTAGTGTCCAATACCGAACTTTTGTACCGCTACAAAGCAGGACTGCGGAATCGTTGTATGACGCAATTGATCACGTGTTGCGCATTTACAACCATGCTGATTTTACAATCAAGACTATCTACTGTGATGGTGAATTTAGACCAGTTTTTGATGATGTTAAAGATGAGATGAATGTTGATATGAATTATGCGAGCCGGGGGGAACATGATCCCACGGCGGAACAAAACAACCAACATATCAAGGCGTTGTTCCGTGTCCAATACCATCGCATGCCGTATAAGGCCATTCCGAGGATTATTACTGAAGCTATTGCAAAACGAGTTGCACAGACTTCCAACTTTTACGCCGCCAAAGGGGGTATTTTGGCTTATTATAGTCCTCCTATGATTTTGTTGCGACGCCAAGTTGATTATTCGAAGGAATTTGTTGCTGAACTTGGGTCGTATGTCCATGGTTATGGATATGATACTCGCAGTGATCATCGGTCACGCACTATTGAAGCGATTTACTTGGGACCAGCTGATAATATGCAAAAGGGTCACAAGCTATATGATTTGAACACGAAAAGAGAGGTAACTAGACCTCGAATTACGGTGCTCCCAATCACTGACCAAGTGATCAAATTGGTTGAAGCCCATGCTGCTGAGGAAGGCGTTACAGATTTACAAACCTATTCCAGGCGCAATGGAGAAATAATTTTGGATGCTGATCTGCTCGCAGGAGTGGACCCAGATGAATTGTGGGACGAAGACTATGTACCTGCAGATATTGAAATTCCACCGGTCAATGACGTGAATTTGCGCAAGAATGATGCAATCACAGATGAAGAACTCGAAGAATTAATCGAGGATGCAGCTGAAGATATATTGGAATCTAGAAGAATTCATGGTAAGAGACAACATGACTATGATGAGACAGATAGAACTGTCGACCGCATGCTGCAAAGAATTAAGAGACGTCAAGAAGAAGACGATGAAGATGATATGGATTTCGTGCAGGATCAGCAACCTGAAAGCGATATTGAAATGGATGTTGATGATGAAGAATTAAAAGATATGATTGATGAAGTAGCCCATGAGTTGGATAGATTGAGCCAACCTATTGAAGAAGAAATAATGTTTAGCGTTGAAGATGAAGACGATGACTATGGGGGTGAATATGATGCGGAAGAAATACAAGAACTGCAAGAAGCAGAAGACGAACCGCAAGTATATCCTGATGAAGATGATGATGTTTGTGCAGGAGTGAGTTTTGAAGAAGTCCACGTGTTGAGTACATCAAATGATTCAAATAAAAAAGGAGAACAGGAAGTGGACAATCATTTTATTCAAATGGAGTCAAGTATCGACCCACTGATAGGAATCGAACTGACAGACCAAGATATGGACAAACGTACTTACAAGGAAAGAAGCCCAAGATCAATTTGTTAAAGACCATGAGAAAGAAGGCACGGTTGAAGAGATTGCGTATCTCATTATACCAGGCTATCGCGTCAAAGGTAAAATAACGAAAGAAGGAAGAGTTTCGGGGTGACGACGTGTTGGGCGCTGAAGCAAGAAGAAAGATTACTGAACGGGCGCATAATTTAATGTTCCAGCAGAGTGGAACTGAGAAGAAAGCGACTTACAATGTGGATGAGTCGTTGGTGATTTCACGCGTCATGCAACAGATTCGTGACGAAGTGTACACAAGGGATGGAGTGTCATTTATTCAGCAGTATTATCTTAACAAAGGATTGAAAAATTTCAAAGAACGAGGAAAAGAAGCTGCGCTCAAGGAACTTGATCAACTGATCAAACAAAGTTGCTGGACACCCATCAGTATTGGTGAACTGACTGAATCCGAGAAGAGGAAAGCAGTCGATGCAATGATGTTACTGGCAGAGAAAAACAGTGGTGATATCAAAGGTCGTTTTGTATATAAAGGAAATGAGACAAGAGACTGGCTGTCTCGAGAGGACACAGCTAGCCCGACCGCATTGCATGAAGGTGTCTGTTGCACAGGAGTGATTGACGCGCACGAAGGTAGATGAATGATGTCAATGGACATTCCGAATGCATTCATTCAGACCTTGATGCCAGATTTAGGTGATGGAGAAGATCGGGTGATCCTGAAGGTAACTGGACTGATGGTCCAATACATGATCGATTTGGACCCGACCTATCGCGATTATGTTGTTTATGAGAATGGCAAGAGAGTGATCTATGTTGTGATCCTTCGTGCCATATATGGGATGTTGCAGGCATCGTTGCTATGATATTGAAATTTGAGTGTTCCTCTGGAGGAGTATGGCTTTGTTTTTAATCGATATGATCCCTGCATTGCCAACAGAATGGTTAATGGCAAACAATTGACAATCAGGTTCCATGTTGATGACGTTTTGGCAAGTCACATGGAACAACAAGTACTTGAAGATTTTTTCACATGGGTGAATGAGAAATATGGTGGCTTAAAGGAGGTCACATGCACTAGAGGTAAAGTTCATACTTATTTGGGTATGACATTGGATTTTTCGAAGAAAGGAAAAATGAAAATTCGCATGGATGATTATGTGGATCGCATGCTGAGTGAGTTTCCAGTCAAGTTTAAGGACAATGAGATCCAGGAGACACCAGCTGGAAATAATCTACTGGAGAAAGGTAAAGGAGCACCGCTTGAGAAGGAGCGACATGAAGTGTTCCATTTGTTTGTTGCCAAATCGTTATTTTTGTCGAAACGTGCTCGTCTGGACATCAGTCCGACAGTATCGATTTTAGCATCGAGGGTGCAATCTCCGAATCTGAGTGATTGGCACAAACAAGATCGATTGATGAGATACATTCATTCTACAAAAGGATGGCATGTGACATTGATTTGCGCGTGATTAAATGGTATGTCAATGCATCATTTGCTGTTCATCCAGACTTCAAGAGTCATACTGGAGCTGTGATGACAATGGGCACTGGAGCAGTGTAAGCACAGCAGTACACATGCTGAACTAATTGGAGTCCATGATGCGATGTCCAATATTTTGTGGACACGCTTATTTATGGAAGAACAAGGTTACCCAATTGAGAAAAATATACTATATCAAGATAACAAGAGTTCGATCCTACTTGAAACAAATGGGAGATCAAGCGCAGGCAAAAGGAGCCGTGCGCTAAATATTCAACACTTCTTTGTAACAGATCAAGTCGAGTTGGGCAACATTACTATTGAACACATGCCAACTGATGAAATGTGGGCAGATTATATAAAGCCGTTACAGGGCGAAACGTTTTGCAGATTCCGGGCTGTAATTCAAGGTGACCAGGATTAGTCCTGATGAACATCTTGGATATTTTATTTGTATTGAGAAGTAATTTTTTCGTTCCATCAACTGGAGTCGCTGGTGAAACGACAGGAGTGTGTTGGACGTATTGATATATTGAGCAATCATATTGGTCGATTATTGATCAATGGTCTACGTGACGTGACGCGGCAGTGACGTGAGTGTCGATCGTGCGTAATATGAAACGCAGTATGTCAGAACGTGCCATCACGTAGAAAGGTGATCAAGAATGAGAATTGTGAGAATTTGAATGATGATTTTGAACTGCAATCGAGAGTCTCACTATCAATTGAGTTCTGGCAAGAATAGTATTTTGGACGTTGAGGTCCAAGCAAGTATAGGAGATAATAAAGTAAGACCTTTGATTGAATAAGACTACTGCTTATTCCAGAGGCTGAGTCTTAGAACAAAGCAAAATGTGCTCTATCGTGAGTGCAATCTACGTCGGCTATGGTCTGCCTTTGGGCACCAGCGACTCTGGGCCTCAGTGTTGGGATATGACGAAATATGAGTTTTTACGTTCCAAAAGAAACTATTCAAGTACAAAGTTTTTGACACGTGCGATCGGAATTTGATCGTGCAAGATGTCGGGATTCGACGCAAGTATGCCGGACGCGAGTCTGTCGGACAATCTGTATCCACACAAACAGGAAAAGATCCTGTACAAGTGGAAT